TTTCTAATGGGAAACCTAAGAACTAGTAACAGGGACCTTTTGGCTGGCTGGTCACAGCCTGCAGACCAGACGTTTGCTTCAAGAAGGGACCTTTGAAAAAACAGTGAGAGCAGGAGTTTCCCTGCACCCAAGGAGAAAGGTTAATTAAGAGATGGGCAATTAGTGGAGAACCTGCTGCTTACACAACCAGGTTGTTTTGGTTTTTTTTTTTCCTGAGGCAGACTAATCACCACCTCTTCCCCTGTAGCCCATGGGCAGAGTTCACCTTTGCTGCATCCAACACAACAGTTTAATCTCCTGGAGTGGACATCCTCATCTTCCAGGCTGCCCCTCTCTGTTCCCTGGGCCTCACTGCCTGGGTGCTTCCCCACCCTCGTGAAATCCCCCCTCCCAGCCACATCAAGACCATGGGAACAGGGAAACACTGGCTCATAAACCAGAATCAGCTCATGGACTGAGAGATGAGACCTCCCAGGAACCCTGTAGGCTGCTGGCCCCCAGCCCACCCCACTGCTGTGTGATGGCATGGGGAGGAGGGCTCCAGGAGGGACTCCAGCCTCTGCCTCTGAGGTTGGGTGAGATGTCACATCACCATAATTCATCTGTAGAGACAATCTGATGTCAACACCTCGTGAAAGCCACCACTTGTCTCAAACTGTAGATGCTGTAGATGTTAATTCCCACCCCCATGAAGAGGACCACAGGCCTGACAAAAGGTCTTCTCCCCACTCACTGCAGAGTCACAGCCACCTCCCAGTGCAGCTTCCCATCAGGTCCAGGTCAGTCCAGGCTCCCCAGCTCTCTGTGACCACCCTGCTAACCCATGTCTTCCTTCCCCCTTCACAGGTCCCTCCTCCCCTCCATCCAGCCTGGCCTGGTAAGGATGCCTTGCCTTCTACTCGTGTTATCCAGCAGGAGGGTAGAGATGGCTGAGGGGAGAAATGCAATGTGTCCTTGGTCTTGGCAATAACCTTCTGGCCTGAGATCAGGTTCCTGGGACAAGGACAGGGTTGGGCTGAGGACCAGGGCAGCCTCTGTGAGGGACCAAGGCTGGGGCACTTGCAGGGAAGAGGCTCTGTCCTGAATACAGCTGAGCAGTGAGGTCAGGGCACTGAGGCAGCAGGCTGAAGAGACCATGGGACACAGATGCTGCAGAAGCAGCTGTGTAGGTGGGCCATAGTCCAGGACCATGGTAGGAAGACACATTAACCTGGCAAGAGAACCAGCCACCCAAGGGACAGGTGAACAGGCAGGGATGGGGTCTGTGCAAGGCTGAGGAATGAGGATCAAGGAAGGGGAAACTGCAATAGAAACCTTCCCCTCCCTCTGCACCCCAGCCTCTAATGCAGCAGAAAGCTCCACACCAAAGCTGATGAGCTCTGCCAGCTGTCCAAGAAGGCATGGAGATACCAAACTGCCCACCTCAGAGCTAGCCTGGATGTGGCAGGGACCAATTTTTGGCTGACATCCATACCATGCTCCCACAGTACCCTTGGCATTTCCCATTACCCAGCACAACACCGATCTTGGACACTCCCAACAGCTGTGTTGGCCAAGCAAGGAAGGGGTAAAGTGGGGGGAATCCTAAAACACTGAAAACCAAACCAAACACTTAGGCTAAACCTAAAGAGGCTGTATTTGAGGTCAGTATTACATCTGCCTGAAGCTGCTACCTTCCAACTCCTTGTAAGATCCTTCTGAGGAGAGGAGGTTTGTCACAACCTCCTGAGGCTCTGAGCAGCAGGACAGTAGGAGTAGTTCATGAGCATGGAGGTTTGGACAAGACAGAAGGAAGAAATGCTTTCCTGTGAGGGTGGTGAGCCCCTGGCCCAGGCTGCCCAGAGAGGTGGTCGCTGCCCCATCCCTGGAACCATCCCAGGTGAGGTTGGATGGGGCTCTGAGCACCCTGCTCTAGCTGCAGATGTCCCTGCTCCCTGCAGGGGGCTGTACTAGACCTTGAAAGGTCCCTTCCAACCCCAAACATTCTAGGATTCTATAAAGTCTAGAGCAGCCAGAAACATCTTCACCTTACTCATTTCTTCCACTGCCAGGCCACAGCTGCAGGACACCACCTATGAGAACTTTGACCGAAGACACGGTGGCAGCCAGACTTTGCCAACAGAAAGGACAGCACCAAGACACAGCTGAGGACCTAGGAGGTCTCATCTGCACCTGCTTGCACAGGTGGAATCCCTGTCTGCTCTGTATGTGGGTGCCTTTTCCCAGGGAGTGTTGAGACTGATGTTGACTGATGCACAGAAGGTCAAAGAGGCCTTGCAGGTGCATGACTTCCACCCCTCCTGCTGCCTACAAGCATGAGAAGCCCTTAAAGGGAACATGGGAGAGAAAAGAGAAAACAAAGAGGGATGGAGCTGGAAGAGCAGAAGAGAATCCATACAGGATGTCAGTTCTAACCAACATGTGTGGTTTTAGCTGGTATCATGTAGTGTTTAGCAAGCAGATAACAGTTTACCCTTTTCTCACATCTTTTTGCTTTACTATTTGTCAAATATTACTTCAAAAAGCAGTTTCCATCACTCCACTTGTCAAACCACATGCAGCTTCCTAGAGCCAGTGAGTGAACTATTTTCCTGATTCAAATACCAGCTGTGAAAGAAAACACTGCTGGAATCTCTGCTGCTTGGGTTTTGTTGTTGGTTTTAATTATTATTAAAACTTCCAGAAGAGTTTGTTTAAGGGTTTAAAAGAAATCTTAACTTCCAAGAGGAGCCCTAGCAAAAGAGGATCCCTGCGTTAGATGGAAAGGTCCATTTAAAGCCCAACTACTTATCTCTTAAACTCTTCTGGGATGAACTCACTACTACAGGGTCAGTGGGCATCCACAGAGAAGTCTCTAACCCAACTGTGAACACGCTCCAAGACAAGGTGAGCAGACCCAGCTTATGCTACTGGACAATGCAAGTCAACACAGAGCCCTGGTCAGGCAGACAGAGGTCCAGGGGAGGGCTGTGAAGGGTGGCATAGAAGAGAAAGAGTGAAAAGAGAAGAATTAGTGACAAGAACTTACTTTTAGGTTTGTATCACTGGACTTAATGCTCTGTGCAGTCACTCCAGTGCAATAGCTCCAAAACCCTTCCCCTAAAGGTCTCACTTCTGGTAACAACCACCACTGGCCAGGAGCCCAGGCTGCTGCTGAACTACACCACCAAGCCTGGGATCCTGCTTGCAAGCTCACCCCCAGCATGGGAATTATTCTTTTCCAGTTCAACTCTTCCTAATATCTATGCTGGTAAAGCAAAGCACAGCTTTAAATCACTTGGCCAGGATAAGGGGAAAAAAAAACCAAAACAAACAATAAAGACTCCCAAGGAAATACTTCAACTCAATCTTTTAAGTCTGGTTTTTAAAATCCCAGCTGTTACAAAGCCAGGTTTAATAAAAATAGGAAGAGATGCAAAGAGAAAAAGAAAGTTGTAGCACATGGCATAGTGACAGACCTCTAAGCTCAGTTTCACAGGTGACCCAGGAAGAAAAGACCTCAGAGATATTAATTGGACCAATCAAATTGAATTTCTGAGCCCTTAAGATTTATAGACATGAGTTAAGAGTAATGAGAGCTCTTCTATACCCAGGTATGGGACTGAGATTTGGCTTACAGGGTTTTTTTTCTCTTGAAAACTGCTTCTTTAACTCAAGTAGCTTGGATCCAAATAGAAGCATCAAACCTCATGCCCCAAAACCACCTAGGAGAGGCTCAGGAATGAGTTTGCCTGTATCCTGCCCCTCTCCCCAGTGAGAGGGACTTCTTTAACCCATCCAAACCCCTGCAAGATTGATCTTCAATGGGAAGAGTTTGCTCTCAACACTTCCCTCTCATTAACCACTGCTTCACCCTTTGGAAAGCAAAAGGCGTGGGGCAACGTGTGGAGAAGAGACCTCACAAAAGGGAGTGAAAAGAGCCCAGCTTGGTGTACATGCACAATAAAGAAGTGCCCAAGGGAGAGAACTGTGGGGAAAGCTCTCACACCTTTCCTGAGAAATCAGCACAGCCTAACCAGTGTGTTCCAGTTTCTTTTCCCTCCCCAGTTTAGGCATACTGATGAATTTAGGACTTGCCCGTTGCTCCTTTGAGCACTTGAGTTCCCAAAATAAACACCCTCAACTCCCACCACCACAGTCCCAGTGGGATGCTGCAGAGCCAGCCTGTAAGGAAGCAATGTACACATTTCATCCACCTTGCTGCCCCACTAGAAATGAGAAGTCAACCTGCTGGGCACCATTCAGAGAATAAGATCACAGGCTCTGGAGCTGCAACAGAAAACTGCCAGTGGATCTGCTAGTTTTTAGAAGTGCTCCCTGGATTTGAGGTAAGGACTCAAAAGGTGCCCAAGAGGTTCACACTTCTAGCACTACCATGCTCACCAAGAAGCCATGAGACCGGTTTGTGGGTGACACACACAGCAGAAGTTGTAGCTTGTGACTGAACAATCCCTACCTCTTAGGTATTATTCAGGGAGTACTTTAACTATGATAAAACAATTTTCATTGCAATGATGAGGTCAAGAAATGGGATGAAAGTCATAGAATGTTTCTGGTTGAAAGGGACCTTAAAGTTCATAGAATGACAGAATGGTTTGAGTTGGAAGAGATTTAAAGATCATCTAGTTCATGATGAGGGTGTCAGTGGTGTTTGCTGGCAATAGTGACTCCAGCTTGATCTGGTGCTTTCCAGCAGCAAAGCTCTCAGCAAGAACACCATACCACCAGCACTGGAGGCACAGTTTTCTCCTACCAAATTACCAGCTTTCCCCTCATTTGGGATAAATTCCACAGTCTGGCTCAGTTGTGAGTGTTGAAAGAATAATACAC